ATATATATATTCTAACGCTTGCTTACTGGTCGTGGCACCCGTCAGATCGGATGCTCTAACCGAGCTTTGAAATATCAGGGATAGGATCTTTAGGGTATAAGAAAGATTTACGCCAAAACACAGAATTGGGTAAAACTGCGTATATTATTTCCAGAATACGACTACATATAACAGTACTGAACGAAATACGAAGACCAGATAGCAAATAACACACGAACATAACATAAAATCAAATTACCCTTTTAAACACTTTGAAAATATACATCATTTGTCAACCTTGACTCAAATCTCTCTTCCTAATCAAATACCTTTACAAAATGTTCATGCATGGCAACTACTGCTTGGCCAGCACCATTTAAAAGTAACAAAACATTAAATCCCTCAATTTGATTGCTACAATACGGCGAACTCCTTATTTATACACATATCTTTGATTACAATAATCGCAACAAATTATCGAATTACTTATCCACCTACAACTATTCACAGTTTATTTCTTCGACAAAATTACACAGAAATTATAAACAAATGCTTTACACTGCTATTTACAATACTTTTTTTCGTAAACATAACACATGAATGAACTGTATTACTGGCTTACTATGTTCTCTTTCCGTTATTTTGCCGTGATCTAGTTCGTACGACAATCTACGTGATTATGCAAATTTAGAACTGTAGCATTTTCGCTGCTGCTCTAACATTTGGGTATTTGCCTGCTTTGTCAACTCCCGTTACAAATTGATTACCTGCGGTAGCACACAGTCCGCGGCTCACAAACCTCGCTACTTTGTCGCCGTGTCCGACCTTGACCCAGATTCGTCTGCCGACGCTCCAGTCTCCCGCTCAGGTCGCTCCACTCTCCCGTCCAGATGTCCTCGACGTAGCACCAACGCTGTCGTTCAGGTCGTCCTTCCCTCGCAAACGGCGCCGACGCTTGTTGCTTGGCCCCCGGCTCCTTATGCCCTCGGCTTCTTCAACTCATCGCTACACTTATCAAAACCACGCTGATGCGTGATATTCAGTCCTGACGCATTTTACTGGCGGCGTAATTTCGGCGTACTTCAACACTTTAGACTTGTGTTGCCAAATTAAAAGTCTTATGACGCCTCGTGAATAATCTAGCTCCTTTTTCTCTTGACCTCTAATATTTCCACCCAAAATCTCCTATAAATGGACTCAGTTCAAATAACTGTTGAACCACTGTTAATTTTGCGTAACTTCCTAAATCTCTTCCACTTCGCTAAGTTCAAATAAACTGCTGAACACTAGTCGAATATTACAACTTCCTAACTTTGCTACATCACACATCTACTCGCTTCTGATCTCTCTATGCCCTATCGGCCTTGCTGACCGCACGCGTCGTATTACACACTGATCGTAGAGTAAATACCCGCGTGCACTCGCATGCGCCCCCCACCCCGACACACATACGCCCATGCACGCGCACACACAGAGAGGTTTTCTATCATCAAACATAATATCAAATTTTAAAAAAATCTCTTATCATACAATATAATGCATTATATACCGTCAATAATTGAACTTGTTTACTTTCAATAATAAGCGAAATTCATAAAATTAAGTTGCAGCTGGAGTCCGACGATGAAAGAATATTTATATTCTTCTCCAGTTGGGCGCTCTTTGGCTTCAAAATGATTTCATGTACATCGAAATTGCTACAATATCTTAATATTGAATGTCATTGAAAGAAAAATGAATTTCCGAAGATATTATATGATTTCTTTCAGTTTTCTGGGGGTTGTGCAACCTAAGCACGAGTCGCCTCTTTTCTTGTACAAATCTATAAATAAGGTCATGTTTTGGGAGAAATATAGACAATTTTTAAATAATTATTCTCTCACAAAGGGTTCCACTTTTTCCTGGAGTAGACAAAAGTACGCTTTTAAAACTGGCTCATATTCCATCTTCGGTGAATTCTATTTTTTCGAAAATTGCAAAACTACAATATTTATGAAGTGGTTTCCTTTCCTTGATGAAACATGATATTAAATTAGATCTTTAAATACCAAGGTCATGTTCGATATTTTGAAAATATGAGTAGTTTTCGCGTTTTTTCCTAAAAGAAAAAGACAATTTACACTTTCATTTCTAAGAACACTCCATTTTTTTTCTCTTAGGGCAAAGGACACTTAAAAAAGATATAGGTCACATTTATGTTGTACTAAGAATTTTTGAAAAGTTCATAAGTTAGAAACGAGAGAAAGTAAGTGCTGATCCTTTGGGGAGGATCACCATACATTTTTGTTAAATAATAAACATATTTGTTATTGTATTATATATTATGTAGTGTATATATGATACTATTCAATATTATTTTTTAAATAATTACCACTATTCTAAAATACATAAATATTTGAATACATTTTGCTAAATACGGGAAGGTAACAAATGAAAACTCAAGGTCTTTTGGGGGTGGGGGGATCTGCCATTGGCATTTGCAGCATCCCTGGTTTCTACTCATAATATCTTTTGAATTAATTGCTAGTGTAATTCAAACACTTTTTAAAAGAGATATATTTTCTCACTTTTGTCAATAAACTTAGGAGAACTCGAACTCTCAAATTTTACTGCAATGTGCTCATAACAGAAGCTGGAGATAATTTTGTTTCAAAGTAATTATTTGCTATTCTCTCTTCAAATAATCAAGTAATAGAATTTGACATGTTTAGATAGTTTCAGTTTTGTCTTTCACATGCACATCACATAACCTTTCTTAGTCCCACTTTCTCCTTTAGTCCCAGTTCTTAAACAGAAAAATTCCTGTTACTTCCCAATGTTATGACCCCTGATGTAACAATAATTCCACAAAATAATAAATCCACAAAAAAGAGAATATCCTAATTCTTGTCGCATACAGTTTAGAATTTCACAATAGCTTCAGGAGAATAATTTAGGTGTCTTGTATTGATGTGAACCTTAACTTTTCAGAAAAACAATCATTTCAAATAATACATGCTACCAAGTCCATCTTGAAAATTGGTTACGTTGCTGAACCAAGAAACTGTTTGAGCTCCTGTAAGAGCGTCTGTGTGTCTTTGCCAACAAATGTGAACAAAACACGAGACAAAAAAGAAAAATTTCATTTTCATGGAATGAAGATACTGCAGAGAAATTCTCAAAATTGTGTTCAATCATAGTTCTAATGCTTATCGTAAAATGTATTTAGTGACAGACAATCCTTTACAAAAACAAAACTAATTCTTTTCGTTTAAATTTCATTGAGTGTTGAGTTGTGAGTAAAGTTCTGGATGAATGCATTGTGCTTAGGAATTACAAGAAACAGTCTTATGATAGGTGATACTGTTTCATTAGGGTATATTTTATTGTATGTTTTCAAAGTTTTGATGGCATTAACACATTAGTGCAAATAAATTTGTTCTCTACTCATTAGACAAAATATTTTCTAGATTGTTTAATTTATTTTCATATAAAAATTAATGTTGCCTTCAAAATAATAAAAACAATTTTTAAAAAAGTATTCAACTCAAGGAACAATTGTTAATAATTGAAACATTACATTCCAAAAAGGGACATCGAAATAATACTTTGAGAAATGAAGATCTTTTATTTTACAATATAACATCACCTGCAGTTCTCTCCCATGTTTTTGTTACCAGAATACAATACTTTACAACAGCATTATTAAAAAAAAAGAATAATATTCAATACAATGAACAAAATATTTTAACAAACAGTTCATTCAACATGATGGAGAATTTATCAGAGCGTGAAGATCACAAATACTTCATTCAACAGGCAAAGAAACACACTGACATTCAGTTCATGTATCTACAGAAGTAATTTCCAATCTATACACAATAATTCGTCCAAAAAAGTCAGTGCTAGATTTGAAATTGAAACGTATACACTTCACCTGCAAAGGTCTAGATAACTTAAAGGACTGGAGAGTATTATTATCTTCAGGATAGAATGCTTCTATTACTTGCATACTAGCTCGGTCAATTCCACCTTCTACTTCACAGTCTCTTCCTGCAAAACCACCTTGAAATTGAAAAGAAAATGTAGAAATTGAAACTGCTTCTTCCAGTTCTATAAGGATCCACTGTGGAGTCCCCTGAACAAATTAATAACAGAAGTTTAAAAGTTAGTGTACATGTAAATATTACACGCAACAAATCAATATATAGATTATAGTATTACACACACAAATAATAGCTTAGTGCACACATACTGCATTCCAGAATTACTAAAATTGAGAAAATCAAGCATGAAAGTCTGAAATGGTGCAGTTACATGTAAAGCAACAACGTTTGCTTTCGGGTTGAAAGCATGATCCCTCTTATATGAACATATAATCTTCCTACATTCAGTAGATATGAACAACAGATTTCCAAAAACAATCTTAACTCAAAATTCCCCACTCTTCTCTGAGGGGGTACGGTTACCCTACATTAATCAAAATGACTTTGAATGAACATACAATGTTAGTGCACTAAGGCATCAAAAATTTACCTGATCAGAGTTCCAACACGTTTCATCACATCCATCAAATAAATGCTGCTTTCCAAACAGTTTAGAGTCTCTATTCAAAACAGAGCTCACTCTAAAAATTAAACATAATACATTTTTTCATTATTACTATTTGCTGTTAAACACAATGAAAATGCTAAACAAGACTACACATAACCTACAACAAACTAACCTGCAAATATATTTTGTACTTTTCAGTAAACTGGCCATTTTTAAACTAAATTTAACAGAATAAAGTAACAAATTTATAAAATTACACACTATTTAATTATTATAACATCCAACTAAAGTAGTTAAACATTTTTCAAAACATATGTAATTCAAATCAAAATTACAGGTCATCCCACCTATACATCACCACTGTAGTCAAATTAAATCTGCATAACTTGCACCCATATTTAGCATAATTAAACAATTTTATATCTTAAAAAAATATTTTTATCCCAGTTATTAGCATTTCTCACATCACACCAATTTTAATTCTTCTTTTAATATATGGCAAGCTTCACTGATTGACTTCATCACTAAGTGCATTTCTCCACACAACCTCATTTTAACCAATTTTGATAAATGAGATGATTTGCAGTGTTTCAATACAAACTGTGAATCTGTTTGGAGTCTTTGAATAGCATTAGATAGATCTGGTTCACAAATCCCATCTTCTGGGTTACTGGGGATATAAAAAGGAAGTTTATGAATCTTCTCCGAAGTTGCAGTATTTCTAAAGCAAGGTTTCTTCTTTTTCTCAACACACTGATGGGTAAATACACATTTATTCTGCATTTTCAGATAATCAGCATATTTGTTGGATATAGTTTTACTGGGCACAAAATTAGGAGTTTTCTTCAAATATGTTGTTATCTGTTCTTGTAAACCTTCACTACTCTTCAAACAAATTTTTATTATATCTTCATGAGTTGTCACATGAGCAAAATATTCAAATGTGCACAGAGCCTCCTGCTGAACAACAGAATTCTTGTCCTGAAGAGCAACAACAAAAATACTGACAACTGCCTGGAATACATTTCGTTGCAAGGTGTCAAATTCAAACACCTTTTCAGCAAAGGCACGTAACAGAGTCAATATTTTAATTTTAAAATGCGATGCACCACTCGTAAAAATATTCAATGATCTTTTGAGAATCTGTAAAAGAACAAAAACATGTCTACTCATTGGTGAATATTACTATATTCAGTACAAATATAGTATATGAATGAAACAACTTACATCAATAAGCTGAACATTTTTAAGCACAGTGCACAATAGTTCTGTAAGATCACATACAGAACAAAAGAAATCAAAGAGCCACGCTTCACTTGCAAATTTCATTAATGGATTACCAATCAGCAACCATAGTGAAGACAATGAAGAAGCTAAATTTGACTGAGTGGATATTGATTTATTGACATTATTTTCATCAGACAAAAGCAATGCTGTGTACTTCATTTTTTTTACCTGTAAATTGATAAAATTTTGATACATTAAAGAAAAGAAAAAAAAAAAGTAAATATTTTGTAGACATATGATATAATAGGCTGAATTAATAAAGTGATTCTGAGGTTATATTAATAGAACTCCTGACTATTTCAAAAATAAATCAACATGATGAATTACATACATGAATAACAAATAAATGGTTTGACATAACACATGTTTAGATACTGGACATACCATTTCTTTATATAAATGAATATTAGGATTTGCAAGAAAAATTTCTATTGCAGCCTTTGCATCACGTAGAGCACCATTTGGCTCAAAAGTTTCTGAAGACTGAAGACACACTCCTTCCCACACATGTGATAATAAAGCAGGAGGGAATTTATTTAATAAAATTTCTTGTTGCTGTGAAGGCAGAAGTGTCCACAAACGTCTGAGAAGAAGTCGCAGATGAATTTGTATGGGGCTGCATTTAACAGGCTGTTGAGAACTCAGAGTCTGAAGTACAAATAAGACGTGATTCACTCTAACACTTGTCGGGGACTGTCTGAAATTGAAAATCTAATGTTAAATACAATTATTTTGTCAAAACTTATTTTGGTCTTAATCATCTTTGTTGTTATTGTTGTTGTCATTATTTTTTATCATTAATGTTATTACTATTGTATATTATTATTAGCCTTTGTTTAAATTAGATTATTTTTTAAAACATTAATTTAAATCAAATAATGGTTGGAAAAAAATTCAATACATTTGGGAACTTTTGAGTTTTTCAACAAATACTGTACTTAATCTTTTAATTCCTTATTCCCCATTTAAATTTTTCATTGGTCGCTTAGTGAGTATTATGAAAAATGATTTGCCAGGAATAAGATGTAAAATAGCTCACTGCAAATTTATGATCTGTAGCTATAACTCAAGGCCTCTACAATCCAGATACAATAGCACCTTATTTTTTAAAGTAGCTAAAACTTGACAATATGACTGGATTTCCCTACAAGCAAAATAAGAAGTTCCTTAAGGCCAGGAAGGTTCTTTCCATTTAGTCAAACAGGGCATTGCAATCTGGAAAAAAATTTATAAAATATTCACCATGACCTTAGCATTCTAAATTTTGAGAACAGATTTCATTAAAGTAAATCATTTCTGACATCAATATTGAACTTCGACGATCTTCAAGAATGGAATCTGAGCCATTTTTAAACACAAACTTTGCTGTATTCAGAAAAAAAGTTAAAGAAAAACATTTGTAGCGGTCTTTGACATTTTTAAAATTGCCTTTACTTCAAGCAAAAACTACTTATAGCTTCTAAAAAATGTACACAACATAATTTAAAAATCATTTTTTTAGAGCAATTTTCATTAAGGAAAAAAATTTCTATTGTAAATATTGTAGTTTTGCAATTTTTGAAATTTCAGAGTTGAATGAAAATGAGACATGCTGTTTTTCAAGTGTGCTGAACAATTTAAACCAAAAATTGGATGGAAAACCATTTTTGGCCAAATTTTGAAAACATTGAGGCTTGATGTAAAAAACATGCACCCATTTCAAATTCCGAAGGCCTAGAGTTTGGTCTGGCCAATTGAGTAATGCCAACTTTAGAGAAAATCCTCTGAAAAGTTTAGGTGTTAGTTTTAACCGAAGATGGACGGACAGACATTTTGCCATTAGCAATTTTTCAGTTTCAAAGACACGCAAAATGTAGGTTCTGACTTCACAATTTTCTATATGCTACATTAAATAGCATACACTTCCCACTTAAGGTCATGGTAACAGGGTAATTCCTAGGTATTTTAGGATCCAGTAGGTTCCCAAGACTTCCCCACAGGACATTGAAGTTTCTTTCCTGCATTTACTACCAGCAGTGCTAAATTGCTCCATCGTAATTTACAAATTGTGTGTAAAGTTTAATAGAGCTTCTGAGAGCAATTAACGAGATAGTCAGTAGATTGCCTCGAGACGTGATCCCCAGGGTCTTGAGGGCACTGACTGTAAATTTTGGCATAGCCCCAGAGGTTCCAACCACCACTGGCAGGATTCTGGCATTGGGTACTCCATGAAGTTGGGCTGCCAGGGGCAAGACTGATTGGTATTTTACAACCTTTTCCTCCCCTGCTTTTAGACCGCTAGACCCATCCTCGACTTATATTAGATGCAGTAATTTACTACATAACAGAGCAAGATTTATGCACTTTTTTGATTGGGACCCACAATCAAAGATTTTCAGTAGCAAAATAGCTATTTTCTGCTGCAGCATTTACAATAATTTATCTTTTCTAAGTACACAATAGACAAGAAAATAAATATCCAACAATAATTAATTTACATAGAACCTAATTCAAACAGAAAAGATTTCACGAAACAAAAATAATGGAGCTTTCTTACAAGAACTATCATTCTGAATGATTTATAGAGATTATTAATATTTTTTATAATCTTTATTTATTGGATCTTTAATCTTCTTTAAAATCTTTAATAATTTTTATTTATTTATTGGATTATAAATCACACAAAAATGTAATTGAATGTCATACCTTGCTATTATACACCAAAGATCCAAAGCAAACAATCCTTTCCAATGGTCAAGTTGCAAGATATTTTTCACCAATGCTGACTCAATAACATTGAAACTATTGGGCGGTACAACCAAAAGAAAAGCTCCAACAGTTGTCAGTACATGTTCATATAGATCCACAACTCGTGCAGGTTTTCCAAGACCACTTGCTAATGTGAATTTGATGTCACCACAGAGGTCATTGTGACCTATATACATTCAGAGTTGCTTACTCTTAAGAAATCATAATAAATATTTTCACTGTAAAACTTATTGTATATCGTTAACTTACAGTATCCCAGAAGATGAAATAAAGACATCAAAATATTGTCCTCAAAGTTGCACATCCAAGATTTCCTAATTTCAGATTCACAACTCACAAGAGCACGGCACACACTTGCCCCCATCAATAGCCAACCCCAAAACTTATTAGGTTTCTTTTGTTTCTGGATAGAAAAGTATGTCTGCAGAATGAAGTTCATTTAAAAACAAAATTATTTCTTTCAAAAGATTGGTAATTACCTCTGCATTTATTTTGCAAACAAAATTTTGACAGCAAGACATCTTAGAAGGTTACCTGCACAAATGAACGATCACTTAAAAGACAGAATATTAAACTTGAAGAAGCTACACCAACTCTTTTTTCAGATTCTCTCACTAGCAATGATTTTGTTTGTTTATCACAGGTATCAACTACACAGATCCTATAAAGGAGAAAAAAATAACAAAATGTCACTTCCTTATAAAATGAATGAAACTTAATTCTAATTCACTACCATAAAATTCTAATATTTATACACCACCATCAAAATTATAAAAATAAAACAATATCTCTGTAAGTGTTGAACAATAATACCTATGCAAGAGTTCCAAGAGTCGGATGACTGAAGGCATACATATTTCTGTTAAATGTCCAGTAAAAACAGAGCATAATTTTGTCAAGACTCGAACCAGAAAACTCAAAACAGTCAATGTTTTTATTCCTAGTGAGATATCCGTCCAATGCTAGAAAATATACTTTTTATCAGTTGAAACCCCCATGAGATTTAAAACTATAGATCATTTTTCACTGACTTACTGCTTCAAACATTTCAGTTAATATATCTGCAACTGAAGTAGAGAGTGTCTCCACAGGAGAAGAGAGATCACATGAAGCCCACAAATCTTGAAAAGCACTATGTTTTTCCACTAAGTGAACATACATTTTCCAAGCAACAACTTGCACAGAGACACCAAGAGTTGTTGTGAATTTTGCAACACTTCCCAAAGCTTCTACAACTACACCCAACAAGAAAAAAAAAAATTTATACTTAAGAATTGAATGATATTTTCCAAATATTCCCACAGTCACTGGCTATTGTTACCATTTTTGAAGAGAATTTCATCTTCCTCACAATTCAAATTGAATTGCAAACCTGTCTGTAACAAAGGTTCCAAATTTGAAAGGAGCGTTTTCGAGTTTTTAAACAATCCTGCCAGATGTTCTCGAGCACATCCATATAGTTCTTCACTGGAAAACATAAATTGAATGAATTAAGATATTTTCTAATAAAATTAACACACTTATGACACAAATGAAAATGGTTCATTATTGAAGTTTGTTTTAAGCCAAGTTTTTCATATATCAAAATTTTCTGAAGTCAGATTCTGCCAACCACATTTTTTAACCACAACAAACAATAATGTTCTTAAAGTACATTATTTATTTCTTTGTAAAGTTTTCTTTTCAAAAGTTATTTGAAAAGAAAAATATTTAATCTGTAACCAACTCAAAATTTTCTGAAGTCAGATTCTGCCAACCACATTTTTTAACCACAACAAACAATAATGTTCTTAAAGTACATTATTATTTCTTTTGTAAAGTTTTCTTTTCAAAAATTATTTTGAAAGAAAATATTTAATCTGTAACCAACTCAAATCAAGCAGTAGTGGTCTCAATGGTCCCGTACTCTTTGAAAATTAAATGCACAGTTACACCTATTATTTTTTAAATTTCAATTCACAATTTGGAATCCTTTATGAAACTTCTTTATAATACTGTCTAGATTGTACTCACGTAAAAAAATACATCTTTTTGTTAAAATTGTTGAGAAAAATAAGCATGTGCACCTACTCACATTCCTAGACTTATATGATGTATAATGCAGTTCAAAACCTGGCTATGTACGCTTCCTCAGCTGATGTTAATGGAATCTAGCCTGCCCGGGAGGAGTCACATCTGTTTTGTGGTGACTGACATTTTGGTCCACATATTGTGACCTTCTTCAGAGCAACACAGCTCTGCAGAAGGCCATGCAATATTCTGGCCAAAACATCACCCACCACAATGCTTCAGCTTGTTCTGGATGGCCAAGACACCTATTCAGAACTTGACCATCTGCAATTGGGTTCTAGAATGAAGCTATTACCATTTCTTCAAATAGAACTAGCAAAGTGCAGAATGTTCACAAAGGGCCATATGACTTATTAAAAGAAAAAGAAAATAATGTTTGATATATTACCAAATCCTTTAACCAAATATAGCATAGAAATAACAATGAAGAAAAGTAAAGAAGTTACACCTATTATTTTTTAAATTCCAATTCACAATTTGGAATCCTTTATGAAACTTCTTTATAATAATGTCTAGATTGTACTCACGTAAAAAAATAATTTTTTTAATATTTTTAAAATTTCTTTTACTGACATAAGATTCTCTGTAATATGCACAAAATAAATAGATTATTTTGTCAAAAGATCTTTCAATGTTAACTATATGTTCTCTCTTAATACTAGAAGCCTGGAAGTTTAGTAAAATGCCTTTTATTATTGTTATGACTTTATGACTTGTAACACTAGGAATCACTTAATTGTATATCTGGAATTGTTGTAGTAGATTTTCTTTTCTCTTTTTTGCCTATTTTTGGTGTTTTGCTTTTTTCTTCCTTTTTCATCATGATTACTCTTTTTCTTCCTGACACCGATATCGATCAAGCTGGAAATATACCTGCAAGCCAGGACAACGAAAAGGCTTGAATACAACGGTCGTGTATTGTCTTTTTGTTGAAGTGGAGGTTTGAATACAACGGCCGTGTATTGTCTTTTTGTTGAAGTGGAGGTTTCATGGGACAGAGCTGTACAATCTCTTCTTAGTACTGACAATTACACTCAGGTGAAGAACGAAAACTACAATCCTGTTTTCACAAATGCTATTTCAAGATTCAAAAGGGAGTAAACAGTAGCATTTCATAGAGGCAGTCGCAAGTAAAACAGATACATAGTCATATGTTGTCATACTGGATGGCCATGAGCAATCAAGGTTACAAATAAATGACTGTTTCCTTCCATGTAAGTGCCAATGTAAATTTTAGAGTTAGAATAAAAATGTGAATCATTTTAATTATTAATTTTTTACAATAATTCCTTTTACAAGATGTTTCATGCTTTACATACCTTTTTGCACCCATACTTTAGTCACAATAACTGCTCTTTTGCCTGTCTATTTTACCAGCCTCTTTTAGGTAAAATAAATGCCTGAACTTCCCGGGTCTACTTATTACCAACCTGTTACGACAATGGGAGAAGGCTGTTCCAAGTATCTGAAGAACTGAGCATGGCACACTAGCTACTTTGATAGCTGGAAGAGGACACAATGATGATATTGTACAGAGAACATTGTTGAACTGATTGAGGAGTCCAAAACACACCTAAAAATAACACAATGACAAGATTTAGCATGTCAGATTCTAAATACATAACAATTTATTATAAATATAACAACTAAAAAGCTGACAGCCTGGAGCTATTTTGAAATTTCATATATTATTTTTAACCCTAAAATAAAATGAAAGAAATTTAATATCACCCAAAAATATAAGTAACAATAAGAACAATTTTGAAACTAAAAATTTGCAAATGATTGCCTCCATTTAATTCATATCCACAGTGTCGGTTTTAAAATAAATAAGACATTCCAAATTATTAGTTTTGTTCTGAACAAAATTGCATTACATTAAACTGTAAACTCATTTATCAATAACGTTACTAATATAATTATATTCCTAAACATGTCAATCAAATATGTATTTTAAACACAAGAACTTGACCAAATTAGAAAAACCTTACATAATTTTGTTTACAATCATTTTAAGAAAACGTTATTTCAAATAGTTTGCACCAAACACCTACAAGAAACCAAATGTTCAGATCTCCACGATTAAATAGTAACTTTACATTCAAAATTCTCTTAATAATAATAAAATTATTATGTATATCATACTTATTTTATAATACAATATTTTTATTATTTTGGAAATCCCTCCTATCATCACATATAAGCTTGTTTCACAAAAAAACCGGTGGCTTCTCAACAACAACCACACTAATTTTCAAAGAAATAAAAATAGATTAATTTTTACACAAAACATCTTTCCTGTGCTCTTTATCTCTTCACCACCACACCAAAAACTACTCTTATTCAAGAAAGTAAATCCCACAATCAGTTGTTAATTACTGTACTTCCCAGAGATTGTGGCATAGATTTAATTAAGGCATGGAAAAAAGTCTTTAGTAATTATGTCCTTTCCTTTTTGGGGAAAGTTAGTATGGGTGATTTGTACTAAGGAAACATCCATGCCTTCAGCAGGACTTGAATCTGCATTATTCAGCACTGCAAATTTGGATGCCATCTCCACCCCTGTGCAATAATATGGTCACACTCTAAGTACTTTGGCTCAAATATATGTTATTTAATTTGCTATTTTAATCTGCTACATATTTTTACACTTACACAAACCATATTTATTTTTAAGTTATTTTTCACTCTAAGGAAATTTTATAATAATGTTTCCACACCCAAGAGTTAGAAAAAAGGAGCACACTACATACGTGATGGAGGCTTTCCAACGTCAACTCCATTTCATCATCTGACAAATTTTCAGCATCTTGTAGCACAACAGTAATACCTTCCAAAGCCTGAAATCATAGCATAATTTTATTTTGTAATAATAAAGTATAAAACTCCACTGTAATATGCTTAATTTGTATTAGTCATAGGTCTTCAGCAAAATGTTCCAGATACTTATTGACTCTGGTCACAGAAGTCTATTCTTTCAATGTTACAGAACATATAGATTCAGGTAAGTAAAAGCATTTAAATAAAACTTACCTCAGTAAAAATTTCTTTTGCAGAAGGAAGAGCATACTGCAAGATATCTGAATTAATTTTGGAAACAGGAACACATAAAAGACATCGGTCTAATAGAATATTTATGGATTGTATGGACAAAGACTTCTGTTCCACATCCTTGAGAGAGTTCTGAACATGCATTAAGAACAACACTTCTTAAAGGAATTAAAATTAATTCTTGACTCTCAAATACATGGTTAGCTCAGTCAGAATTTTACTTCAATCTGAAAACAATTTCATTCCTTGGAAAAAAACAAGTTTTTTTTTTATTACATTTGATTTAGGTTGTAGACGAAAAGGATGCAATTTTTGCAGTTATGATTGTAGCAGTTCTTCAATTCTTAATCCTTTTCCACAAACAAAATATTTTAATATGCCCCAATGTGAGACAAGTAAAACATTGCCAATTGCTAAATAATAAGGATACAGTGAGTACAGGCACAACATTGTTGATGTTTTCGGCAAGTTCTTCTTGTGACCACTGATCAACTTTTCTTATAATATCAGGTAATGTTTCAGGAGAAAACATTGTACCGTATTAAAACGATAAGTGACAGGAACTGTTTACTCAACTTTGTATTAAGTTAACAATAACCAAGAAACAATCTGACTATATACAATTGAACTTGAATTTCATAACAGTTGAAATGATCTTCAAAGCATCTTGAAATAAAAGTGATTTTCATGTAAGGAACTCGAAAAACAAAAAGCAGGTACTTCTTAAAATATAACGTAATCTTTTCAACACGTGAGTTCCACAGCAGATTCCCAATCTCGCTTTTCCGCGCCCTTTTCTCCCTTCTACGGAGCACTGCACGCGGTCAGTCACCAATGGGACCTTCTGTAAACATGATGCCAAACTGGCGGGAAAATTAAACGGATAAAACGAAATGCGATTTGCAATAAATATGAGAAGATATTGTTAATAAAGAATGTTGCTTGTACACCGCTAAGTTTAAAATATATTTAGTTTGTTAAGAAAATATAAATACGTAAATATGTAGATGGTTGAAGCGGTCATTTTCTTGTATGAAGGAATATTTATTTACATACGAGATAATAATGGTAATTGCGTTCTCATTCGAATTCGTGATTTTGTCTTCAGTGAAGATATCCTGCTTACTCTCTAAAACTTGAGAGATAAGCGGGTGATGAGACGGTCGCAGTTACCAAGGCAACCGTCCCGACAACAACCGTCCGAGAGTAAGGAGAAAGTTTTGATCAATAAGAACTGAACCCCGGAAGACGACACACAGTTAAGTGGAGCATCGCTAAGACTCAACAACTCAGGTGAGTGCTCCTTAAATATCATAAATTATATTTTTTCTTTATGTTTTCCTATGACTACAATTATTTAAAATTATGTTTAAACATTGGATATTTGATTATTTTCTTTATTTTTCACGTGATTGGCGGATATTACCTAATAAAGACGTATCTTAAAAACAGAGTATTAAATAAGTTTGTTAATTTTGTTACATGATTATTTCGAATGACGATCATTGCTTTTCGTCTTTTTTGTAATGCAAATTATTGACAAACACTGTACCGTATTACAAACATAAACCTGCTACCGCCAACTCGGTCCATATGAGTCGTCGGGTGGCGCGGAAGCGGAGTTTACTGTGAGGGCAATGCCCTATGTACGATTCGAGAGCACAAAGCACGGCATTTGAAACCTTGTAGACAAATCAGGGTCCAAAGATCAGGGGCAATATCATTGGTTTAGGCGGCGAAGTATCTGAGAAAGGAAATGCTCACTAAATGTTTATATTTTGAAAACGCAAAAAAGACAATTCACATTCTAGTGATTTAAGTTTTTGATGATCTCTCTTATGTAATATTGTGCACCATTTATGAATCTTCATGATTCATTTCTCATAATGAAATTTTCACGTTGCACACTTTTTCAACACTAGTCAAAGTAGGCAAAATTTTCACTAAAACTGATATTACCCGATTGATCTGACTGACGTTCCGGTTCATTTAAAGGGATGTTTTGATTTTGGGGATACATAAAGCCCCAGACATTGTCAAAATTTTCTAGAAAATGGATCCAATTTATTTATTTAATTGTTTACCTGATAAATCAAAATACACCTAACAAAAACGGCACAGATCCGATTTTAATCGAACTATCTGAATTTTCGAAAATTGCAAAAGTTTACATTTTTTGGCACCTTCTTAGAACTACAGTATTGAAGATGGAGATATTTTTTCTCAATTAAATAATATACTCTTCAAAATTAGATCTTTAAATAAAATCAGGAACAATATATTCAAAATATAAGTCATTTTCGCATATTTTAATTGATGTAAAGTCAATTTTAAAAATTAAATTTTCTCGGATACTAGTTCAATTTTTTTTCTTTTGGGATGCATACACTGTATAATGTGATATAGATAGATAGATTTATTAATAATTCTGCAATTAAGTGTGAGAACTTGGTGGCAGAATACAACTAACTAAATTACAGAACTTAACAACTATACAAACTCTATAAACGTTACAAAATCACATGAACATTTCACCGTGCAATCTTTCATAGAACCACTTCACCAAAACTTTCACTTCACCACACGTCACCGCACTGGCGATACAGCGAGCTATAATGTCTTTCTTACTCACTCGTTTCTCTCAGTTGCACAACTTCACTGCACTTCACGCCAGCACTGCACATAAATAATAATAATAATAATAATAATAATAATAATAATAATAATAATAATAATAATCGATATATCAATACCCAATACCCACAACATATGCGGGAAAATATCAAGAGAAGATCCAGAAGTATAACAATCTCGCCTATGAAAGTCGCAACTCAGTGGAACTTCAGTAAGTGAAGACTTGGCCTATAATAATATCAGCTACGGGAGTGATCCGAAAATGACACTTCGGGCACTGAGTGTCTCTCACTTGGATACCAGGAATGTATATAATATGCAAAAGACCAGTAATTTTGAATACATGCCGTATTGTCAGAAGCCATCTGAACCTTCAGTAAAGCAACCACACACCTGGTCATCATACTGTGTGTGGTTGACATACCGACCAGTAGATACTGTGATAATGTAAGACAATAATAATAATAATAATAATAATAATAATAATAATAATAACATTAATAATAATAAAACAATAATAATAATACTTAATTACAAAGAAGACAGGTAATTGCACTGAATTTATTAATATATTTATAACATATCCACATTCAAGAAACTAATTTATTTTTAAATTGCTCAGACTTTGAGAAAGGGATCTAAGATTGTCACAGGCAAACTGTTCCAGTCCTTAAATAGTGCGATTCGCGATGAATATTTCCCCAACGTCCGTTTTCTGAATTCTTGTCTGAATTTTGTGCATGTGATCCGCTCTGCACAAATATGTAGGTTTTCCTAATCGACTTTGAATTTCTTTCCACGCTCGAAAGGCCTGTGTACGCTTATACATTGCATAGAGACGTGACTTTAATCTTCTTCTTTCGAGTGACTCCCATACTCCTTTATTCTTGGTACCCCTGAAAGTAAATTTTGATGCTCTACGCTGGACTTTTTCTAGATTTCTTTGTGCATAAGTCTGTATGGGTCCCAACATACCCGCGCCATATTCTAATATAGGTGCACTAATGACATATATGCTAGTTCTTTGGCTCTCACTGTACTCTTTTTCAGTATCCGCATAACAAAATGTAAGATTTCCAGGCTTTCCCTACAGCGAAATTAACTCGATTTTCCCTGGCTCAATCAATTTACTGTCTAGCTGTATTCCTAAGTATTGTAAGACGTGACTCGAGGGTTATAACATTATTGTTAAGTTTGTACACAGATTCATTGTAACTTCGACCCTTACCAAACGTGATGGACTTGCTCTTTGAACTGTTTATTTCCATGCCGTTTGTTTCTGCCCAGATATGTAATTTGTCTAAGCTCGCCTGCAAAAATATCCTCGTCTTTCTCCGAGTTGATAATCCTATAGATTACACAGTCATCTGCAAAGAGTGTACATTTGAAGCTAATTAGTCGGCCAAATCATTCACGAAGGCCAGAAACATGAGTGGTCCGATTACACTTCCTTGTGGAATTCCTGACGTGACGCTTCTCGGGTTGATAAGTAACTACCGATTTCGAACTTTCTGTTTCCTGTTCGTAGTTGTTCGTTTATCCACGCTACCACTCTTGTTGTTTTTACACCCGAATCTATTAATTTCTTTATAAGATGATCGTGTGGAACAACATCAAAAGCTTTGGAAAAATCTATTACTATCGCGTCGACCCTTTTCCCTTCATCAACTACGTCGCTAGGTCCTGTAGAAGTGAGACTAGCTGATTTTCGCATGAGAAAACATTTCTGAAACCGTGCTGACCCTGATAAAGCCAACCCTGCCCTCGCATTCTTTCCTATGTTTCCAGCAATAACTACATGACGGTTATTTATATTTTTTGTTCCTCTCGTAGAGAGTGCCTAAAATTTCATAGCTGTTGCCCCGTGGACGATAGCAAGCAATAATTCTAAGATACTTCCTGAACAGAAAATTTCTACACCCGTCATTTCCAAATTCTTTATCAACCCAATTTGATCACATATTAAATGTGTTTTTCACGCATATAAATACACCACCGCCTCTAGTTTTCGCGATCTCTCCTAAACGTAATGTAGTCTGAACGAAAAATTTTCGGGTTTGCTACCGCGTCCGAAGCCAAGACTCTGTTCCTATTATGACATTAGATTACATGCTTCAATTAAATTCCAAAATTCGGATTCCTTATTCATGATACTACGACAGTTCACCTGCAAACAATCTAGCGAAGCCTCTTCCTCACCTGAATGTCCAGTGTCGGGCACCCGTGCATCCATCCTAGATTCCTGTGCCGCGGTCACGGCCATCTCCTCCCCCGCCGCAGTCACACGCGTTATCTCCGTCACCTTCCCCCGCAGCAGTCAGATGCGTCGCCTCCGTCACCTTCCCCGCAGCAGTCAGATGCGTCGCCACCGTCACCTCCCCCATATAAACCCCATATAAACGTTATTTTGATAAAAGCTTTAAATTTAAGCCACACAAATGTATGCTCAAGTCGAATTATATTATTACATAACAAATAATTATTACCTAACAAGTAAAAGTGAGCATGCGGAACTATTTACCTGTGGTACAGCCGGTGCAATACGCGAGGACGGACATTCGGAGCTGAAGAGCCCATTTAGAGAATTTAAAGACGTTTAGACAACTTTTAGTGTCTTTTTTATGAAAAAGTATTCATATGCGACATTTTTTATATCTTTTATAATTAAAGGTTCCTCAAATAAAACAATTTTTGTTTGGAGTGTGTGGGGCCTCTGATGATATTGTTACCAAGACCCCCGTACAGATAGTTCTGCCACTGAGTATGAGGTTATAATTAGCGAAACGAAGATGGCGAGTTCTTTAAGATAGAAGAGTGTTTTTAATGGCAAAGATTAGTGAGTATATAAACATAATATCCAGGATTGACACGTGTGTCCCTTTACAAAAAATGTTCAGTGATTATAATTACATGCGATTTTAAGCAAGGTGGACAGCAGAATTTATTTGCTATAGTTCTCTAAACATACTGTTCATATACTTGGCAAATATAATAATTTCAATTACATTTTCAGAAATATTTTTAACGTTTGTGTTCACAGTAAACAGTACAATCCTACTCACTGTGAAATTGTAAACCTGACTCATTTCATTTTCAATAATAAGTACTTAACGTCATGAAAAATATTTTTGGGTTTTTCCATGTAGTGAATATAGTAATTTTCTAACTT